GGGGGAGAAAAAGAAAAAAAACCAGAGAACTTGGAGGCAAGCCAGCGTCCCCGAATGACTCGGCTCAGCCGGCAGCCCGGATCGACACTCCCCACCAGCCCTGCCCTCCCTCTCCTCTCCCCGCAGGGCGGGCATGCCCAGCCCTCCTCTCTTTATCAGGGACAGGAGTTCCCCTTCTTGGTCTCCAGTTGGTGTGGGAGCCCAGAAACATTGCTAAATTTATCTTTCACTTTTAGGATAATGGCAAATGCCAGAAATAAGAAAGCAAAAGGACTGAAAATTAATTGAGACAATTCCCTGCAAGCCAAGTGGAAGCACCTTTTCTGCATAACTCCCAAGGAGGCAAAAAGCAGTTACACAGTGCAAAGCAGGGCAGGCAGCCTGGGGTGCCAGGAACACGCTGTTCCTTTGGCTGTGCGGCACAGGGAGTTGTCCATCCATATGCTCAAACTTGATGGGGCTTTCTTCTCTCCCACAGAGAGCAAAATATATCCTCAATTTAGAAGGGCTCTTGCTTTATCTCAGGAAGGCAGCAGGAAAAGCTCAAGGCACACTGAAGAGGTACAGCCAGTGTGGGTGAGGCTGCCACCTCTGAGCAAAAACTGTTCAAGAGTCATTAAGTGATGTTTAGTTCTGAGGATCTTTTCCTTAATGCTCTTTGTAAGTGAACTGACCATAGATCTTAGTAAACTAATTTGTTGTCTGAAATTACTCAGTGGAACAGCCGCTGTGGTGCCTCGGCATATGCACTACGGTCAGTGCCTTCAGCAGAGATCGGTCTCCTCAATTTTTGGTGCTCCCCCTCTGACTGGAAGCCATCCTGTTCCCCAGCACCAGGCAGAGGCATGAGGTCTGGCAAGTCATGGGGCCTGTTTCAAGATGGCCTTCCTAATACTTTCAGTGCATAACTTTCACAGCACTTGCAAGACTTCCACTTTTTCTATGTGCGTGTCTCATAAATTACAATAGCAACAAAAAAGTGGTCAGTCTTCACCAAGAAGTAAACACCAAACACTGATCAGAACAAGTTAGTGTTTGCATTCAAATGTTTTTTGTTTCAAAATCGGTTCTACCCAGCTGCCAAAAGCTTTTTTGAGGCTGCCCATGTCCCCCTCTCTCTACACTTACGAGAAACGTCTCCTTGTGACTCATGTTCAGCCTCCCAACTGCTCTCCTGCCTACTCTAGCTCTCTAGCTTTTGCACAAGTGTCTGCTAAAGAAAGAAACAGACACACAGTCATTCAGGTGCCTCTAGAACATTTAATTTGAAAATATCAAGAGTATTGATGCTCGCATGGGAAGTGATAAGCTGGTATAAAGGTAGTGACAGGAGCATGGGGTAGGAAAAAGTAGATGGGGGAGGGTAAGAAGCATTGGAAAGGGAAGTAGAAGACGCACTGAACAAGAAGGCTAGCAGCTAAGAATTACAGCTTGGTACAATCCACACAGACGACCCACACACCATTCCCTGTGACATTAAGTAATAAAAAAAGGGCAACATTAGCTTTGAATCTATGCCCAGTAAGGGTTTATTCCCAGAGGGTTTTTTTGTTGTTGTTGTTGTTTGGTTTTCCCAAGCTTGAGTTCTGAGAGGTGAAACCATAATGGTGGCCAAATACAAGTTTGTTTGGTTTTGTTTTTTCAACATTCATTTTAATTACCAAGCTGTAACAAATAAACCTCTGGCTGGATTGTAACTAACCTGTGTGGGTCCTTAGATGAGCTTTAAGGTGGGAAGATTTGCCATAAACTTTTTCACACCCCACATAGTGGCATTTGTGCTTTTTCTGGGGTGATCCAGGGTCAGTCCAGCTTCTCGTGCGTTTGTTCTTTTGTCTGGGGCTTGGCTCAGTTACTGCAGCCAGGCTAGTAGGTGTGGCTGCTCTTCCTCCTCCACGCTTACCAGCCGAAGACACATTTTCTTCCCCAAACTCCTTAGGAGCAATAGAAATGTGTATTTGTTCTGTGATATCAAAGGTCTCTGTTTTTTCCATCCTTAGAGCGGGTGAGTTTGGGACATGCTGGTTCAGATCTGCTAAAATGCTAGCTACCACAAGTAATGATGATCCATTGTCTTTCCCGGTTTCTCTGACTTCCCGCTTATCTTCTCCATTTGATGAAGAAGGTATTGCTGCATCAGGTTGGGGATCAGGCTCCCCTTTGGGACTATGGATAATAGCACGACTGGACATAGAAACAAGGCACTCTGCTGCAAAATGATCCACATATGCTGCTGTTGCCATTTTTCGTAAGTTTAAAAATAAATCCGAACAGAAGAGAAAAAAAAAACCCACAACACTGCTCTTTCCCTTTTTAAAAAGAATATGCGAGCAGACTTTCCTCTCTCCTATTTCTTAGGATCTCTTTGTAGAAGTAAAGGCTGATTTAGCAGCCATCAAAACCACACTTTGTTCGTGACGATCACACCCAGCTTGTCCCTAAATCAAAAAAGCGTTGGAAGTCCAATGGAAGAGAAAAAGAAGAGCAGACAGATCCTGGCACTGGCAGCTTGTTGCTTGGAGTATGGATTAATGCTGTTTTTTCGAGAACGCAATAAAACAAAGATGCGGTTTCCCCAGCCCCTCCATTGCGTTGTGACAGTAGAATAAGCTTTCCCCGTTACCGCTCCTCGGAGTCGCCCGGACCCCTGCGGGGGCGTGGCCTGGGAAAACATCTGGGCCTGACGTCACCGCGAAGCCACATCCTGCGACGATCAGGTT